CATCTCTCCTGCTCGCTCCCCTCTCCAAGCAGCCTGGGAAAGCCCCAGTTTAAGCTCTAGCCCCCTATATTCTCCATGTGGCTCTGGCTTTTGCAGCCTACAGACCCACATGGACACCTCCCTTATCTTCTACTCCTTTCTGACTTCTTCTCACCTTGCAGTCAGACTATAGACCCACTATGCTTCCCTCAGTTTCTGCCCACAGTCCTGCAGCTCATTTTCACTCTCAACGTCCTCTTGGAACTTATATGAAAACACTTGCACACTGTCCCACTTTGCAATTCTCTTTCTTCCTCCATGGACTTAGATTTTATTACAACAGCATGGCCTCAATACAAATCAATGACCAAAATTGGCGAACTTGTGATTTCTGAATTCTCACAAATCATTAACAACTGCTACTGCCACAGACAAAGGATCACCAAATATTTTATATCTAAACTTATTCTGATACATTTCCAAAGTCTCTTATCTCTAAGGCTATAGTTCCTCACTCCTAAAAATCTGTTATTCCTAGGGTTTCTTGCATGCTGCTCTATACTGTAAACTCTTATTTCAGGATTTGTAAAATGCTCCTCTGGCATGATTTAAAAATTTATATAATTTGTAACAAAGTCTGTTTCCCATGGAAAGTTTTGTTTTTCTCATTGTTAGTAAAGTTCTATTTTGTATGGGTGGATAGATCTGTGCCTATATGTTTTCTTGTGGACATGAGAGCCACACAGAATTACTTCAGGTTCAGTTGGGTGTATAAATGTGTATGGTCACTGCATGCTTGTTTCTTACTGGTCTTGGATGCCTGAGTTTATATGTTCCATGTGTCTTGGTGATAGATAGCTCAGCTGTTACTATTGCAACTCGCTGTCTGGGCTCAGAATCTGCCTCTGGGATTTCTGGCCACTGAATCTGATATAACGACAGAGATTTAAATATCATTTGGGTGTAAGTAATATTAAAGTCATATTATGCTGTTTTATCATATTAAAAAAACAGCTTATGGAATTTAGTATGGTTAAAAATCAACAATAGATTTCCAGGATATTTTGTATTAGGATGGATTTTTATATAATTCCTGTCCTGTCCTGAAAACAAGGTTTATAAAAGATACGATTTAAAACAATGCTGGTTTAATGAGGTATCAAAGTTGCACCTCCATGCATTCATATATAAGGACGTATCTTGCTGGCAGCCAGATTTGTAATATAAGAGTAATCTGCTTGGTATTGATTTTAGAGACACTGAATTGTTTACACTGTTGAAACTTGGTTTTGCTTTCCACAAATTATGGTTGTGCTCTATGCCTTCAATCATGAAATAAACACTTAGGACCAGAGCTGAATACCAGAGACTGAAGTATTCCCATCTTATGACACAGCAAGATGGTGACCTAAGCACCTGGCAGAGTCTCTCTGCCTAAGGTCTATTCAGGCTAACAAAGACCGAGTTAGGAATTTATGTCTAACCTCCTTGCTTTTACTAACATTGTTAAACTGTAGCTAGTTTGGTAAACTTTGTGTTCTATAATGGTGTACTATAAAAGGATCAGGAAAGATCCCAGTCTCTTTGTGGAGTGTGTTTATGAGTTAAAAGTCTTATGTTGATATTAAAAGAGCTTTAACTCAGAAATTGTTATTCCTTAAGGCTAAACTTAACAAGGATAACACTATACAATCCTAATCTTATAAAACATACAAATTAAACATCAGTTACCTCATTAAGGATCAACTTATTTGACATGTTCAGATTTAGCATATATATATATATATATATATGTGTGTGTGTGTGTGTGTGTGTGTGTGTGTGTGTGTGTGTGTGTTCTCAAAGTTAAGCTTAAAACTAGAAACTAAAAACAAACAATGTTTATCTAGTTTAGATATACCTAACAGATAATGATTTGAAATGCATCAAAGATCTGAGAATATAGCATTTAAAATGTTTAATAAAAAAGCTTTTTGTGATAGAGACATGCCAGCCTATGGCAGCACCCCAACTCCTCCGGAGAAGATGGATGGGTGCAGAAGAACTTCTACCTGGAGCTTGCTTTAAATGTAATGGAGTCATGGAGTGGAAAAAACTCTCTTTCACCTCAACTTCTACCAAGAACCTGCCCAGACTGTGGACAAGCAGGACGCTGGGGAATTAAATTGATTGACCTGCTTTGCCAAGACAAGTAGGCCACTCTCCCCAAATTCCTACTCCACAGGAAAGTCTGTCAGATCTTCTGAGCCTGGCAGCTGAAGACTGATGCTGCCCTGGGACCTCTGTCCTCAATGACCATGGAGGAACCTGGGGTAGCTATCTAGGTAACCAGTAAGCCCCTGTCATTTTTAATACATTAGGAAACTGTTTCACTTCTGCTTACTCAGGTGAAATTTATCCTTCTCAGATCTGATGGTGTTTGATGACTAGGGTACTGATAGCTTTGCCAATTACCAGTTCTCTCCCTCCAAGGCTATGACCACTTTGATAGTTTATTAATTAAGTTTCTTGTTAAGAATACAGACAGGTTTGTTTTGTTAACAGTCTTCATAGTAAAGGATAAACAGGTTTCAGATGTAAATTTCCACTAAAGGAGCACAGAAAATGATTTAAGATCATGCAAGTTGTAAATGATTTAAGGTATGTAAAGATGTTTTGGACTCCTGTCCCCTTTCTATGCTATTATTACACTAGAATTTTGGAGGTTCAGAGTTTTTCCATTAGTGAATGGAGTTCTGATAAACTGATAAAGCACTGACTACTTACTATTCAAGATTTTAACTTTCTTCTGGTTGTCTTTTAAGTATAGACGTAAAGAGGTGTGTTTAATTCGGCTAAACTCAGGCCTATAAATATAGGAAAAATGTTAATACCCTTTAATGCCTTTGCTATGACACCAAGGTGTAAATAATCTGTTCTAGCTGTTGTACAGACACCTGCATGTTCCTGAGGAAAGCGTGCTGCTGCTGGATCAAGGAATCTAGTCTGGTGGAGACTAATTCTGAGTCACTCCCAAATTGTCTGAAGAACTTCTCCATCCCGTTCTTACCAGCAGTCTTCACTCTTCCCATGGCTTGCCCCACTCACAGGGCTGGTGGTAACAATCTATTTTTTTCTCCTAGTAACTTTCCTTCTCTGCTTCCTCCAGGAACAGATGCCAGAGTCTCCAGGATGGCAGTTAATCGAATGTTTCTTCACCCACACCTCCTGCTGAGCATGAGCCCACTGACTCCCAACTTCCCCTCCCCATATCGTCCTAAGCCAATACTGAAGAAGGTTAGGGTGTTGGGCTGGAAAAGCTCACCCTGAAAAAGCCCCATTCTCCCTTTCCAAACCCCACCCCCTCAGAGAATCTCCAACAAAGAAAAACGGCCAAAAAAATTAATAATAATAAACCCAGTTCCACATTCTTGGCAACTGTGGTGGCTCCTCCACTGAAGTTGCCAGCGGCCCAGTCCCCACCTAAGGCATTATAATTGGACACAAACCTAGTTTGGAGGACACATCATCACTCCTTGCCTACAGAGTACATAAGCACCCCCCTTTATTTTCTGTAAGGGTGTAGAGCGGCACTTGTGGCTGGCCATGGCTACCGAGTAGAAAGGTCACAGTCACGACATATGGTGATATTTTATTTGTGCTGAAATGTGACTTTATTTGTATGTTAATAAATAAAAGTGCCTGGGGGTCAGAGCTAATAGCAAGCCATTTAGCAGAAGTATGGCAGTGGTAGCACATGCCCTTAATTCCCGATCACAATGACAGGCAGATGTCTGTGTGTTCAAGGACATAGCCAGCATGGAGACATATGCCTTTAATCTCAATACCAACCATAGAGACCTAGAGGTCTGTATAGATAGGCAGTGATGAGGAGGTCATGTGGTTGGGTTTACAACCAATGAGAAGGCAGAACTGAAAGTCAATAAAAAGACAGACACACAGGAAGTAGGTCTCTTTCTCAGAGGAAGGACAGCAGCGGCAGCAGGTGGTAAGAAGGCGGTCTTGGTCTCAGCTCTTAGCTGCTGCTCTCTGACTTCTGGGGCTTTTAATTCTGCATTTGGCTCTGTGTTTCTTATTTAATAAAACCATTCAGAATTACATCTACAATGACAGGACCCAGTGATACCTTTTAGAGCTTTATTAAGAGAAGGAGAGACAGAGACAGAGACAGAAAGACCGCACAGAGGGAGAGTACAGAGAGAGAACGTGAGAGATGTGAGAGTGCATGTCCGGCCTTTTAGGCTGGGACGCAGTCGCAAACTGATGATGTAATAAAGTCCCGAGCTGCACATATACAGAATCCTTACAGTTTGGCCATGTGATTTTTCCCCCGCCCCTTCCCCCACCTCGATCTCTAGGGGCTGGAGGACTCACCCAGGAGTTGCTTTGCTCAGAATAAACCTGGTCTTTTACTTTTTAATTTGGCTTGATCTGGCTTACTGCATCAGTGGAGAAACCTATTATCAAGTTTTTACAGAAAATCTATTACATAGAAGCAAACAGCTTTTGTATCTCCTGACACAGGCCCCATGGTGGGACTTAGCTCCCTTTCCTTAAACTAGTCTTCTTGTCTGTGTGGCTCCACCTAGAAAGGGCCTTCTTTGGGAGAAGGGAGATGGAGAATCAGGTCTGCTCAGGAATAAGACAGAAAGAGAAATACTGAGAGGGAGACAGGTGGGTCCTGACAGCCCAGCAAGACAGCAGAGATAGGAAGACTGCTTTAGTATGAGGTCAGCAGGCTACATAGCAAGATCCTGCCACAACAAATAAACCAAACACAACAACCTGTGGAGCCACACAAAACACACCAGGGTGGAGGGGCCACACCCTACAGTGCTCTGACTTCCAAACCCTGCAAAACCAACCAAGCTCATTCATTGCCATCTCCAGATTTTCAGATTTTTATGAACCTAGCTTCAAAACTTCCCTCCATCCTCCACAGAGCATTTGATTCAAATCTGAGAATTTTTGGAATTTGGATTATATGCTACAAACAAATTTCATTATAGTTCTACTCTTACCTCCATTTTGATTTTGTTTTGTTTAAATTTAGTACCCCAATTCCTTCCATGGAACAAGAGAGGAACTTTCAAGAGCTTTGGAAAGCATTTCCGTTGATTTCTCCATGTTGCAGGAACACCTCCCGGCATCCTTTAAACAGTACAGGGAGCATCAAGCAGTCCATGTAATGCAGAAGCTCTGAAATAAGCAGGAAACGCAAGAAAAACATCAGCTTTGGAAGCAAGGTGTTCTTGCCATTTGCTTTCAGTATGGATAATTTCCACCAAGTTGCTATTCAAATAATGTGCTTTTGTTACGTTAATGTAGTATTGGAGGAAGCAGTGAATCCAATTCCCAAGTGCAGATAACTGGTACTAGGGCATTCTCACTGAGGAGAAGGTAATCTCACTGCTGGGGTCCAATGTTCCTTCTGAAATATTTCAAAGTGATTTTCTGAGGAAGGATCTGCATGAGTTTTTGAGGGACTGTCAAGGTAGCAATCTTGGCAGCATCTTGACACTAAGCGAGCATTTCAATATACTGTGTGAGATCCCGAGTGAATTGACAAGGTGGGTGAGTCATGTGAGTTAGTCACATTTTAGATGTTTAAAAATTCACTTGTCCTTTGAGAAACAAAACCCACATTAACTGAAGCTTCAGGATGTATTTCTGCTAGCTGGCGCCAGCGATACTTTAATCACTTATTGCTCATGGACTATAACAACCAGATGTTCAGATTTTAAGGACATCCCACCCACTTCCCAAGCTCCCAGTATGATCCTAAATACCCACTTGCAGCTACTTGTTTCTTTGCTCGTGGCTGAAAACATTGTAAAACTGACACCAAGTATTGTGTGAATAAAATATGTCAGGAACAGCTTGTATTTAATAAGTAGCTATGGACCAAAGTAGAAATTTCACAGCCAATGTTGGAGAATCATTCTCTCTGATAAAGATGTCTTCTGATAAATTAGTTATGGTTTAATGGAAAGAAAGTTATGGAATTAGAACATTGATGCTCGATCCCAAATTCAGCCACTTGTTCAGTTTTCAACCTTGAGTAACTATTTATTTCTAAGCAAAATAAGGTGCTAATATTATCTTCCTGTGACTGCAGACTCAAGAGACAGTAGTGAAGGGGGGCATGCAGCTGTGTTTAGTAAATACCCACAGTGAAATGTAAAGTGAACAAAAAGGTAATGTATTTTCCATACTAAAGAGAAAAGATTATATTCAGAAGATGTTTGAGGCATAAAATAAAGTGGAAGTTTTATATCTAATCAAACAACATTATCTGCTAAGCTGGGAGACATAGCCGACAGCCCAATGCAAAATGAAAATATGAGGCCCCTTATTCAAGAAATAGGAAAGTGGTGGTGTGTGGGAGTGGGAGGTTCCAGTGACAGAGTGCTTTCCTAGCATGGACAAAGTCCTGGGTTTGATCCCCAAACTGCATAAATTGAGTGTGGTGGCACATGCCTAATCACAACACTCAGAAGGTAGGGGTAGAAAGATCAACATTTAAAGGTCATCTTTGCTGCATAATGAGTTTGAAACCAACCTAGGCAGCAGGATCTCTGCTTTGTATTCTTTCTTCTTTTAGTCTTGAGGTCTCTTGTGGAGGCAGGCCTCTCTTGACTTACAGTGCTCAAGTAACTACTGACAAATGCAGAATGCTGAGCCAAATGATTGTAGAATACACATTATTTTCAAGTTCTGAATTGTTGGCTACCACTTGTTGGACCATAATGGAAATATTAACAAAGCTGAATTGACTAAAGTCACACAAAATGTTTCTCATCATAATGCAATTTGGCAGTCAAAAACAAAACAAGAAACAGGAAATCAGAATGGGTCTGAAGCCGAGTAATACAAGTCAGAATGTTTCATGAATCAAATAAAAAAGCTCAAGAGTTATAACCAATAACATTACCCTGAAAAATTAAATGCATAGGTATCATGCTGATGGAAATGTATACATTTGTTCTTAGGAATGAAAAATGCCTGAAGATCAGCATTCTCACTTCAAAGGTTAGAAAAATAAATGAAAGGCAAAGAGATGAGAACAAACTCAATAACAGAAAAATGCTAAAACTAGCAACATAAAACAAGTGATTGGAAATAGATAAATGCGCACTGGAATAATACTATAATAAATCTCTGGTAAGTATGATGAATGAAAAAAATCAACAAGTCACAGACTTCAATATTATAGTAAAAGGTGCCGTGTTCGTATAAGCATTATGAAGGACAGGAGGTGACACTAGAACCTAAGTTACTTTAATGTTTCTTGAAACTCCATACAAACGGATTCTTCATATAAAGGATACGTTACCAAAAATAGAACAGATGTTTAAATTTCCTTAAAGAAAGAATTTGTAATTTAAAATTTTGCACAAATTAAAATCCTATATATGACTTCATTGTAAATATACTAAAATTTTAAGAAAGTATAGTTAATCCTCTATTCAGAAAATCACAGAAAAAAACAAAAAAGAAGAATCCTAAACCCATCATGTACATATTCCCATCCTGACAAAACCAGAGCAACAAAGAAAAAATATAGAACAATCTCTCACTCGTGAAGGAAGGAGACACTACTAAATAAACTTTTATCAAATTGAATCCAACAATTAGTTTAAAAGCTGATGATGCATTATGATCTATTTTCATATTATGAGGATAAAAGAGGTTTTTAAAATTTGTTATTTGTGTGCGCATCTAAGTGTGTGTTTGTGTACGTGTACATGTGTGTGATGTGTGTGCGTGTACAGGCATGTGCATGTCACTGTATGTGTATTAGAAGACAGGATCACAGAGTTGATTATCTCACTTGCTCACTAGGTTTTCTGCTGTCTCTGCAATGTTGTACTCTCCAGGCTAGTTGGCCCATGAGCTGTCAGCATCTTCCATCCAGCCTCCCATTCACCATGTTTTCGGGTTACAGATACCAGCCCTGCATCCAGCTTTTTGCAGGTTCTAGGGATCCAACTCAGGTTGTCAGGATCATGCAACAAGCACTTCCACCCACTGATCCATCTTGCCAACTCAAGTAGATAAAGCTATTTTAACACATAAAAGTCAGATGATGAATTAATCAGACAGAAGACCAAGGAAGAAAAGAATTTCAAAAGACAATTTGATGATGTGTGCATTAGTTATTTTACCAATAAAATATCATGACTAAAAGCATCTTAAGGAAGAAAGGGTTTATTTTGGTTTATATGTTCCAAGAAGTAGAGTCCATCATGGTGGTGGGGGCGTCATGGCGACAGGCAGGGGAAGCAGTGGGACAATATCAGGAAGCTGGCTGGTCATATCTTCATCTGCAGACAGGACATGGGGCGAAGATGTAAATCCTCCAAACTCCCCCGCAGTAAGTACTTCCTCCAGCAGTACTCTAATCTGCTGATGGCACATAATCTCTTCAAACAGTGCCCCTAACTGGGAACAAAGTGTTCAAATATAGGAGCCTATCAGGGACACTTCTCATTCAAGACGCACAGTGGGCTGCACAGATTTTAAAGTGTTCCTATAGGTAAAAAGGAAAAACTTCCAAATTGCTACTTGAAACTGAGTAGTAAAATGTTTTAAGTGAAGAATAAAATATGAACATGATTACTCATCCCTACAGTTACTGCCAACCACAAAACATCAAGAAATTCAAACAGCAAAAATGCAAGATTGGAAAGAAAGAAAAAATGTCATTATGTATAGATGATATAATTTTTGCATATAGAAAGTCTGATAAAGTATCTCAATAAATTACAGCCTTGGTGAATATGTTAGCAAGTTTACAAGATACTGATTAATATATAAAATCAGTGTGTCTATACATTTGTAACAATTGGAAAATAAATTATTTTAGCAGCTACTATTCCAAAAGTATTTTTAAAATCAACATTCAATAATGAATATGACAAAAGAGGTAAACTAATTTTATAAAATAATCTGTAAATGTTGGATGGTGATCTTGCTCAGGGATGAAGCCCTTGCTGAGGCTTTTATAACCCTAACTTCCATCCTCAGCAATGCAAAGAAAGGTTAGGGTGGTCAGTATGTTTTTGACAACATATAGAAGAAATAACTAGATGATGGCTATACTATGTTCATAATTTGGAAAATTCAGTGTTTTAAGGAGTTTTGATTCTGTACAAATTGATACACAGAAAGCCATCCTGACTGAAAAACTTGTACATTTATTTTAAGAAAAGACAAAACAACAGTAAAGCAAACAGAAGAAGCTGGTTTTGACCTATCTGTGGAAAAGATGTTAGAGAAGAATAGAGAAGGTAAACGGCAACCCAACAGTGAGAACAGGCAGGAGCACACCCTCATAGTGTTTCCAAGAGACTGTGATGGAGGACGGGCAGGCAAGGCGTTTTCACAGTTAAAAAAAAAAAAAAAAACCCTCAGTGGCAGATCTCTTCATACATACACACTGGGCTTGGTGGGTTTTGACACAGAAAAATAATAACTAAAGAGTGGCATTTTTACTCAATCAAAATATTAATCTCATATAGATTATAAGCATGATGCTCAAAGTAAAAGCATCATAATACATCTATAATACAATTTAGGAAATACCTTCATGGATGACACTAGGAGACAAGTTCATCATAAAACACAGGAAGCACTAAGCGCAAAGGAAAATGGCTGACAAGTTGACTGTATTGAAGTTGAAAACACTGGTCATCAAACAATAAAATGGAAGGAGAACTATGGAATCAGAGGAGTTATTTGCAACCTGTATAACTAAAAAAGACTGATAATACTCAAAATGATGAGTAAATAAGAAAAAAGACAGAAACCAAGTAGAAAAATTATTGAATAGGGACTTGAGAAAACATTTCATGAATTATGAAAGAGGATATAAATTGTGTTCTAGTTTTAATTCTGTCATGGATTTTTTGGTTTTGTGGTGTAGAAGTGAATAAAATATATTAGGTATTGAAAGTATAAAATTTAATGTGATGCTTCCCATCTGTTTGAATGTCAATTCTAACTGTATATAAGTTCATTAAGTTGCATAGACTTTGGGGCTTGTTAATTTTGGTGTGTGATGTTTTTTACTTGAAATTTTTATAGCAAATTTTATTAAAATTATTTTAAAATAAGCCACAAACAGAGGCATTTCATGAAGGATGATGTCCAAATTGCCAATAAGCACAGGAAGTGCCTCTCAGCCATATTAGTCA